GGAGGGGGGGGTGGGAAGGCGGAGGGGAAGGGGATGCCGAGGGGAGGGAGATGCGGAGGAAGCGGGCGGGGGTGGTACCGGGGAAGAAGACTGAGCCCTTATTCCGCCGGCCCGGCCCGGCCCTCCCCCGCTCCTCCGCGCTCCTTTTGCGCATCCCCCGGCCGCCGCCGGAGCCGGGAGCGGGCAGCCGAGCCTCCGGGGCGGCGGGGAGCGGCTCGGGGAGAAGCGGTGGGAGGAAAGGAACGATTTTAAATTAACGGCCCGGCACAGACGCAATTTCCTGCTCTCCCGGTCCGTGACACCGATTGGTAAACAAAGAGTCCCTCGGCAGCCGCTGCCCGGCCCCGGGAGTGCGGGCAGAGCGGCGGCGGGGCCGGGGGAGGCTGCTCCGGCTCCCTCCCCCTCGGCGGGGGTTACCCCTCCTCTCGGGGGGCTCACTCGCGGGGACCCCCGCCGCGGAGGAAAAGGGCCAGCCGAGATGGCAACGAATAAAGAAATAACCCGGCCTCGGCCCGGCTATGTCGTCCGTCTTGTCATCGTCGTTCGCCACCCCGTCACCCCCCCCGCGCCCCAGACTGCCTGCGCTCCTCTGGGACGGATGGGGGGGACGGGGGGGCTCCGGTCCCTCTTCCCCACCGTGCCCCGCAGCCCCCGCAGCCTGCTAGTCCAAGGGTCTCCGCTGCTACCGGAGTTAGCCCACCGCCCTCCCCAGGATGGGGCAGCCCCGAAACCCCCCCTGCTCCCGTTCAGCCGCTCCCAGCAACCGCAGCCCCCCCTCACCCCCCGCCCCGGGCCGTCTCTGGGCACCGGGCGGACTCCCACACCGGCACCGAGGCGAGCGGCTCGCCGTGCCCAGCCGGGGCGGCCGGGACACCGGGCGGCCTCCTAGGCCGGGGGGTCCCGGGCAGCTCTGTCCCCCCACGGAGGGCTCCGTTCCGCCGCTCGCTGCAAACGGGGCAAAACCCGGTGGAAAAGCGGCGGCGGCAGCGAGGCTTCACCTCGGGCGGGGGAGCGGGCGGGGGCGAGCCGCAGCCCTCTTCGTCTCGCCCTGAATCCCCTCAAATCGAAGCGGTTGTAATGACGGTGGATTAAAAATAAATAAATTAGCTGTTAATCCAATTGCCGAGAGCCCAACGTCCCCGAGAACTCAATCCTCGGCGACCGGGACCTGGCAAAGGACACCCCAGGGCTCCAAACCCACCGAGACCCACCCGGGCTCCGCTGTTCCCGCAACCCGATGCCGCCGAGCATCGCCCGGGACTGCCGCGGGCTCGGCGGGAGCCGGGGGGTCCGGAGGGGGTCTCGGTCCGGTCCGGTTCCCCGAAGGGAGACCCCAGCCGAGGCAGCAGGCGCTCGGCTCGGGGTTTTACCGGGGAGGCTCGCCCTGAATCCCCTCAAATCGAAGCGGTTGTAATGACGGTGGATTAAAAATAAATAAATTAGCTGTTAATCCAATTGCCGAGAGCCCAACGTCCCCGAGAACTCAATCCTCGGCGACCGGGACCTGGCAAAGGACACCCCAGGGCTCCAAACCCACCGAGACCCACCCGGGCTCCGCTGTTCCCGCAACCCGATGCCGCCGAGCATCGCCCGGGACTGCCGCGGGCTCGGCGGGAGCCGGGGGGTCCGGAGGGGGTCTCGGTCCGGTCCGGTTCCCCGAAGGGAGACCCCAGCCGAGGCAGCAGGCGCTCGGCTCGGGGTTTTACCGGGGAGGGGGAGTTCAAGGCCTCCAAATTTGCCCTTGGGCCGGGGTGGGCCCCGAGTCTCCGCGTCTGTGGCAGCCTCCGCCCATCCCTTAAATAACCGAAAGAGCGCGGAGCAAATAAATATCGATTAAGGCAAAAATAAAATAAAAAGAGAAAAATAAAATAAAATTAAAGGAAAAAAATAAAACAAAGAAAATGAAGTAAACGAATAACTCGGAGCAGGGGGAGAGCGGGGAGCAGGGACGCGGCCCGGCGGGCGCGGAGCAAAGGCCGAGCGGGTCCGGCGCCCCGGTGCCCGGGGCCCGCACCCTCCGTTCTGCGGGATCGGGAGAGGCGAGCGGGGCGCGGCGGCGGGACGGAGCCGTCGGTTCAGGGTAGGAGTTGGCGGCGGCGGCAACCGGTTCCCCGCTCCCGGTTCCCCGCTCCCGGAGCTGCGGCAAGGCCGGGTCGGGGTCTGGCGGCCGGACTCCGCGCTCCCCCGCCGCCGGGCCCGGGCGGAGGGTAGTTCGTGTCGTGACATGGCTAAAGGATTCATAACGAAAACCGAGAAAAATAATCACCACCCAAACCCACCCTCCGCCCTGACGAGACGATGCCCGGCGGCCACGCGTGGGGAAGGGCTGCGGGCCGG